AAAAAAAAAAAAAACAACATATCCAGTCTCTTCTCAGACCATAATGGAATAAAACTAGAAGTCAATAGCAAGAGAAACTTCGGAAACTGTACAAATACATGGAAATTAAATATCCTCCCAAACGACCACTGGGTCAAGGAGTAAATTAAGTAGGAAATTTTAAAATTTCCTGAAACAAATGAAAATCAAAATACAGCATACAAACCCAATGAGATACAATAAAAGCAGTGCTAAGAGGGAAGGTTATAGCAATCAATTCCCACTTCGAAAAATTAGAAAGATTTCAAATAAATAGTCTAATGATTCACTTCAAGAAACTAGAAAAGGGTAAAAACAAAAATTAGTAAGAGAAATAGTGAGCATAACTAAATGAAATAGAGATCTTAAAAAATACAAACGATCAAGGAAACAAAAAGTTAGGTTTTTGAAAAGATGAACAAAATCAATAAACTGCTAGCTAGATGAACTAAGGAAAAAAAAGAGACAAGACCCAAATAAAGGAAATCAGAAATGAGAAAGGAAACATTACTACTGATACCACAAAAATACTAAAGATCATCCAAGACGATGCATATGTAGTATGAACAACTACACTCTAACAAACTGTAAAACTTAGAGAAAATGGATAAATTCCTGGACACATACAACCTACCAAGATTCAATCAGAAAAAAGAGAAAACCTGAAGAGACTAATAACAAGTAATAAAATTGAATTAGTAATAAAAAAATCTCCCAACAAAACAAAATCCAGGATCAGATGGCTTCACTACAAATTCTACTAAACTTTCAAAAAAGAACAGCAGTACTCCTCAAACTACTCCAAAAAAATTGAAGAGGAGGGAATGCTCCCTAATTCATTCTACAAGGCCAGCATTATCCCAACACCACAACCAGGCAAGGACACAACAAAAAAAAGAAAACTGCAAGCCAATATTCCTGATGAACATAAATGGAAAAATCCTTAACAAAATACTAGCAAACCAAAATCAACAGCATCTGAAATGATAAAACACTATAATGAAGTGGGATTTACCCCAGGGATGCAAGGATCGTTTAACATACCCAAATCAATAAACACAATCCATCACATCAACAGAATGAAGGAAAAAACTGTATGATCATCTCAATAGATGCAGAAAAAGCATTGGTAAAATTCAACATCCTTTCATTATAAAAAAACTCTCAACAAACTAGGCATAAAAAAAACACACCTCAACACAATAAAGGCCATATATGACAAACTCACAGCCAACATCATACTGAAGGGGAAAAAGCTCAAAGCCTTTCCTCTAAGTACTGGAACAAGACAGGGCATGCCCACTTTCATTACCCCTATTCAACATAGTACTATAATTTCTAGCCAGAGCAATCAGGTAAGACAAAGAAACAAAAGGCATGCAAATTGGAAAAGAGAAAGTCAAATTATCCCTCTTTGTGGATGATGTGATCCTGTATCTAGAAAAACCTAAAGATTCCACAAAAAACCTCTTAGATCTAATAAATAAATTCAGTAAAGGTGCAGGATACAAAATCAACACAAGAAAATCAGTAGCACTTCCATATACCAATTATGAACTGGTTGAGAAAGAAATCAAGAAAACAATGTCATTAATAGATACAAACAAAATAAAATACAAATTTAACCAAGAAGGTAAAAGACTCCTACAAGGAAAACTACAAAACACTGATGAGAAAACTGAAGAGGACACAAACAAATGGAAAGACATCCCATGCTCATAGATAAGAATAATTAATATCAGTAAAAGGACCATACTGCCTAAAGCAATCTACAGATCAGATTCAATGCAATCTTTATCAAAATATCAGTATCATTTTACATAGGATTAGAAAAAACAACCATAAAATTTGGATGGAACCACATAAAACCCCAAATAGCCAAAGCCATCCTGAGTA